GTCACTGTAAATCCAGAGCAACCTATGTAAAATCTCAGAAATTATTCTGTAAATTTAGGACTGAATTGGGTGCTTTCCCTTTAAGAGGCAGATTTAAAGGAATACCATCCTTTGTTCTAACAAAATAGTCCAGGCTTGTCAATCCAGAAGATTTGTGCATTGCTGAACATAATGGCATTTTATTACCTAGTTTATTTCTGTCTAGCATTCTAAGACTCCTGCTGATGCTTTGACTCAGACTACTTTTTGGTTGGGAAACATGAACTCCAATGTCACAGATGACTTCTCTCTTTTGGTAATCCATATTATTTTTTTGAGTTAATAAATGTTCAAGAGAGAAAGTTTTTGGCCAGACAGAAGTTGTGTTTCAAACTGTGAGCATCTAAGTAGCAGTGTGTGAAAATAGTAGCCTTTATTTTTGCTCCCCTCAGTCTCTTGCTAATGCACAATAGCTCATTTCTAACAGTGGTTTAGTATATTATATTTAAACTTAATTACTCTGCAGTAAGATAACAGGTCCCTCACCTTCCTTGGTTGTGAATCAGTAAACCACAGCCCACGTTCATCCATAAGGATGGATGTTCAAATGCTGAAGTGCCCACTGAGGAGCAGCAGACTACCCCGTCCTTGAAGTTAGGACATTTATTTACAGAATAATTTATGCAGATTAACTATGGCCATTATCTGAAATTGCATATTGATCTGGTGTGTTAAAGTAGCTTATTGCAAGACAAATCCTGCAATATCTTTACGGTTTCTTTCAGAACATTTACACACAGGGAAGGGTATTACATTAAAGCTGGATTCGACAGACATCTTTATGTAAATAAGAAAGAAATGGGGAAATCTCCTGCTTTTGAGACAGCATTGTGATAGAAGTAACCTTAAACATAATTTCTTAGGCAGCTTTATGCGGTGTAATTTTGTTTTTCCTTTATAAAATAACGTATAGGGTTGAGAATTTTGGCTATGCTATTCCACATTCAGTTGTAACATTGTAAACATTCATCTTGTATATCCCTTTATGTGAAGCTATAAATGTCCATCATAATATTTGCATCTCTTCAGTAATTTAAAATATTAAAAACAAAGGCCAAATTTCCACATAGTTTTCAAATGGTTTCAGCCCTTCGCATACATTTCTATATACATCCGCCTGTTAGTAGTACCCCTCCATGCATGCTCATACCATGGAGCTTGTTCCTGACTCAAGTGATCTCTGAGAAGGATATATAGTTGCACCGCCTGAGAATACCAAAGATGAAAGCATAAATGTATGAGTAAATCCATGGCATGTGCTTGTGGAAAAAATTACTTCTAGATTTTATTTCACTATTTTGATGCCCAGGGTGCCCTTTGCGTTGTACATGGGGAGGTTCCGTGCCCTGCCCGGAGAGTACAACGGTGCTGTGTTTGGGATTCCTGAGCTGGTTGTAGGTGATTTATCACAGGGACTCCACGCATGTAGTTACCCAGGAGAAAAGCTAGCAGTGCTGTATGCTTTTTCCAATAAATGAGCAAGCTCATTTCGAGTTACTGTGAGGATCTTGTTGTTGTGGCACTGCTCTGTGCTGTGTAGGCATACCTTGGAGGAGAACTACCTGTAAATCACTCATAAAGGTCTGAGGCTGGAGTCTTGCGTTTTACTCAGAAACTTGCACAACGCTGACTACAGATATCTGTATGCTGGACATTATTTTCTAACCAGATCCTAATGCTGTTCTAGAAAATCTCTGCTTCTGTGTTATCCACATAAAACGTTCTGAATTTTAATGAGTCAAATTTCATTGCTGTTTAATCCTTAAAATTCACTGAGCTAATTCGTGAGTGTCCCTTAATTCCAAAGAAATTGAAGCCTGAAAATTAGGTCCTGGACATAGATAGCCATTATTTTCGTAACTCTGTTATTTTTACCTTCAGAACATATGGAAAGGGAAAATGACCAATCGTGGTTAGGCCAGAGGCCTTAATGATGGGTTATAGTCCCAGCACTCTCATTCACTCCTGCCATTGCCAAGTGAATCCGGATGAGTCATTTAATGTCTGTCCAGGAAGTGTCCTTACCTGCCTAACAGAGTTATTGCGGAGATGAGCTGCAGTTAAGCACTCTTGCCTCTTAAGGCACTGAGGAACTTAAAATAGTATTATTGTCATCGTGAATCTCAATAATGGCCACGTAATCACCGTTGGAGCACTTGGCCAGCCTTCAGTCAGCACTCCTTGATCACAGATCCCGAATCAAGTATTTGCTGTGCCTTCACGTTCCCCTACCTTAGGTGATAATGATATTCTTAAACCATTTTTATAGACATTCAGGTGCTGCCCATACTTAGTCATAATAGGATGGACATATAAACTGAAATATTTGCAACATACTACTCACTGAAAACCTAGAAACATCTGCTGCTGTTCAAGCTATTTGATAGCCATTTGACTACTACCATTTCTTTGTGAGTGCCTATTTGGACATTCTGTTGAAATAGGTGTATACCTAGTACCCTTGGTTGACAAAAAAAATCCCCAAACTTTAGATCATAGATCATATTTGAGCAAGAATTGGATAAAATAGAGAGTTTGAGAATGAGGCAGCTGGACTGATAAATAATAAAATAACTGGGAAATTGCACATACACATGCCAAATGTAGAAGAAATCTGAATGTTTCTCCTGACTGAACAAATCTGTAGGCTGGAGAGACCTGATGAAAGGACAAAGTTTTATTCTGTCCCCCATGCAAAGTCCACTCTTTTGGTTTTTATATCACTATCCAGATCATTAACATAGAAAGGGTTTATTTTGGTTAAACTGAAGAGCTTCAACAGGGCAAGAAAGAATTAGAGGACTTTTGCCTAAGAAATTACAAAGTAATAGCCTGATGTGTTCAGATGAGGCCACAAGTACGTCATGAATTTCCTTCAGGAAAGTTAAGCCTAGAAAGATATTAAAATTCTGAACGTATTGCAATTTCAGTGTGGGACTCTAAAGGGGGTGTGGATCAAATCTTCTATTGCAGATAATAGTGTCACGTAATACTAACCGGAATTTCTCCTCCGGATATCTCCTGTTCTTTCAGCTTGTGAACCTCGCTTTATTTCAGTGGACATTACTGAAGTGTGACTTACTCATATTATTCTCTCTAAAAATAAGCCTACAAACATGATACTCAGTTCATGAAGTGCCATTTTTCCACTTCTCTGTATGTGCTCTAAGACATGCACTTTACTCGTTCACCAGATTTTGCTCCTTTTGCGATGTATTATTTGCGGTAATGAAACATCCCCTTGAGCTTTTCTGCCCCGTTTCTCCGCATTGCATTCCCACAACACATACTCAGCAGAATATCTAGCTTGCAACCAGATACCACAGTTGTGGAAGCTTGATAAGTCCTTGTCATAACAGTAGTCCCTGACATTTAAAGAACTTCAGTTTATATTTGCAAGCCAAATTTCATACCTTCATACCTCTTTCGATTAATCAAAGTTAAACCATTGTATATGTGAAGGGGCCTCTTGTGGTTTCTAAGTAAGTAGTATGGCTTTTCTGGCAGAGAGCCACAGGCAATTTAGTAGGCACATACTGGGGGGGTTGAGAGGAAGAGGGACAGGGATAATCCAGAAAGCTTTAAGAAAGGCTGAGTGAAATCAATATTTCTATACACAGTACCAGAATTTTGCATTCTCTATCTTACTTTTGGCCAAAGCAAAACTGGTTTGACGTGTAGTCAGTAAGATAATTTTGAAATACGGCACAGGGCTTTCCTCTCAGCCAGACAGTTTTGCACTGGTTTTGCTTCAGCTGAAGAATTTATTCCCAATTTGCACCTGTGGCAAAGAAGAGTTAGGCACAGGGGATTTGATACGCATGGTGTGCAATCAAGTGTCGTACCTGTCACTAAATAATTTCCACAGGAATAACTCTAATATGGTTCTTAGTTGTCTTCAGAAATAATAAAGTTTAATTTTGTAGCCTAAATGTCAAGATGAGGCTTTACCATGTAACTTTTGCCTGAGAGCTCTACAGCTGTAAATAGATACTAACATAAAAGGTCTGTCTCCAGCAGAGCTGATCTCTCTTTCCATTTCTGACAGGGGTCACATAGCCAATGTAAATTACCACCATAAACTAAATTCCACCTCTCCTGTAGAACAAAGTGCTTGATCTGCCTGTCTAGAAGCCAGGAGCTACGCAGAGAACTGTAATATTTCAACAATTCAGCATGAGTGGCAACCTGTTCTTAATAATGAAACACTGGCAACATTTAATTTCATTTGGTCTCAACATATTAAAATCCATCCTTTCTTTAGGGGATTTAAGCACTATCTGAAGGGAACCTGAAGACAAGGGAAATAAGTCAAGTAGAAACACACTCTCCCTCTGTTTTCTGTGCAAAATTCAGGTTCAACACGCACATCTTGACATGAGTAAGGGATAAGTTACTCTTAGACAAGGAAATCCTAGACATCTCAAGAAGAACGTGAATTCTTCTCCATATTATCTGTCATTTTGATTTAATTAGAAGATCAAATCTGAATATATGACATTAGCCATGTCAAAGGAGTTAGTGGATTTTAGTGGAAATGGAGTTACAATTGAAAATTTTAAACTATTATTGCCAAGTTTTTGGAGGTGTAATGATTTACATGGACATTTTATAACTAAGCTACCAATGCTGTTAAAAATGATATCTAGGCTAACTTCAAACTAGATTCTTACAATTGTGTAGATACAACACCTTGAATTCAGTCTCAAATGTCTCAGAAACTTAAAAACACAGCATTTAAAAAAAAAAAAATCTAACAGACATACCACAGAAAATTTGGCCCCAGTTCAGTATGTGACTACATAGAATATTTTACCCACTCCTTGTTTTATATTAAAGATGAATTCAATGTAGATGTTTGGAATTCTTCTTACAAACTTGTTGGAAAGGGACAGTATTTTAGCATGACACCCTTGTACAAACCTGGTGTTTAGCAGATTACGTATGTTATTCTGTTATAGGTACACTACAGTGATAGACAAAATGGCAAAGAGTGTATGACCTGTTTGACACTGTCTCCTGTGCAGATGACTTTCCAAGGTATCGGAAGCTCCATTGAAGCCAGCCATGACCAGGTATAATACCTTCACCCCACACTCTTGTAATTTTATTAATATCTAGTAGGGCCAGAATGTCAGCATTAGTAAAATTGAAATTTCAACACCTCTTGTGATTTTCATATGGCATGTTCTTGTCACTGGGATTTGCCTATCTTGCCATAGTAAAATCCTGCTTAGATCTAAAGAGTGACCCAAGAAGGAGACAAAACTATATTGCCTTTTACATATATTTAAGACATTTTAGGAAAGCCTGAATAGCTTGCTTTTTTAGTTTTAAGGTCAGATGTAAGGTTTCTGCAAAGATTTTTTTAATTTTATGTATGTATCAGGTCTTGTCTATCCTATTTTTACCAGAAGTTTATGGGATAGCTGGAAAAGTAGAGAGATGAAGTCATCATCTCCAGCCATCATCTGTCACAAGAAAATGGCATTTGAGAGGGGAAAGGGATTTTTAATCAGTCTGTGTAAAACTCCCATTTTGTTTGGCTGTTCTTAAAACATTTAATTCAAGCTTCTGGCAAAAAGCCAGGAGAAAAAAAAAAATCTCAATCACTCATCACCCTGCTGCTTCAGATGGGAATTGAGGGGGACTTCCACGCTAGCTTTCTTGTCCTCCAACAGTCTCATGTATGAAAGCAAGACAAGACTTCGATACTCCAAAAGTTTTAAAAGCAAAAAGGAAGCAGCAAGAAGAAAACCTTAAACCAAACCTTGTGCCTTTCAGATCTTCAGGAGATTGGAAAAAGTACCTTTTTTATTTGCCTTCTCAGGCCAACTTTAAATTGGACTGTGTCCACATTTACCATACATTTTATCAGACTCTATATAAAATTCTCTAAGGAAAAAGGGATTATCAGAGTTAGTTACTTTTGGGGGAAAGGTTCAGGCACTCTTAGCCATATTTTTGTTTGTTTGGGTTTTGGTTTTTTTTTTGTATTGGAAGTTTCTAAGTTAGTTGTTAACATAAACTAAACCCATTAGTTATTTACATGGTAACATGAGGATACTTCCTGTCCTTAAGTGTTTGGTGTTTTACAGTAATGGAGAGCTGTGGTAAGTCAGACCATACTTCGACAGACACAATCCATTCAATTCTCGTGTCATCCAGCAACTTGCGTATGCTGTTCCAAAGTTGCTCCGTTTTTCTTTCAGTGAAGATTGCCTTTTAAAATTCAGTTATAACTCAAATACAATATTTAGACATGTCAATGAATTTAAGGTGGTCCCTGTCAATGTGGTAACAACTGCATTCTGGGCTACCAGCCAGCTTGGCCTTTGTCTTAGCATTTATTTAGGCTAGAGCATGATATATAAACAGAAGAAAGACTTTGTAAGCAAAAAGCACATTTAAGCCATCTGAATAATTATATATTTAAGATGTCTAAATGAAAAAGTGTTATTGAGCCTGCAAAGTCAAGCACCTAGAAATTAGGAGATTCCAGATTATGTGCAGCATTAGTTTGTACCAAGTGTACCCGGTCAGAGCTCCAAACAGGACATTCTTCTGGCAGGAAAAAAAAAAATATATGCATAAAATAACATAGATAAAGACTGTATCATAGCTTGTGCACAAATGGTTAGAATTAAATTTGCCTGGGCCATTTTGTTTATAGAATTTCCTAATATGCCTTCAATTTGAAGTGTAAAAAATGTTTAGTTTCAATTATGTAATTTTTCACCAGTTCTTAAAAAGGAAACTGTTTTGTCATTGCACGATGGGGTGGTTGTTGCATTATTGAACCCACATCGCTTGTGCAACGTTTTCATCTGAGCTGAGTGCAAAAGAAAATAGTCATCAAGTGCCGACCAGTGGGTTAAAAACCAGATCCACGTACTGAACAGGAATCACTGATTTCTCCTCGTCCTCTTCCTAAATATCAAAGGAATTCCACTTTCTGGGGTAGAAGGGTGCTACTGACTGGTTATGTTTGATAAGGAGGGTGACAGGACTTGATTGAAGCATTTGCCATTGCCTGAATAAATAGAGAAAAACAAATCATTAGCAATCAAACTGAAAGTACATCAAGTGTTTGTCAGACACTGGAATTAATGAATGAGTGACAGAATTAGAGCTTTTAATGGACTAACTAAAAAAAAAAAAAAAAATACCCTCTTCTTTCTTGTTCCTGTGTGATTGGTGTGATTTTGCTTGTTTTTCTACAATTTCCCTCACAGCAGATTTATCTGATACTGTTATTATTCTTCTAAAAATAGGAGACAGAACTGCTGTGCCTTTGTCACACTGAATTATTCACATTTTAGTTCCAAATGAAATAAGTTCAAGATAGCCATATGCTATAAAAAATTCTACAAACTCCAAGTTATCTCATCTGTTACTTTTAAATAATCTTTTTTGTATTGTATGGCAAGGTGGATTAATCACCTGAAAGCCTGTGGTTTCAATGGTGCAGGTTGATTTGTGTCAGCTATAAGGCCTGGCATAGTTTGACTTCAGGATCTTACCGCTTCTGTGTTTATCAAGATAATTTTTCTCATGTTCATGCTAAAATACAGATTTTATAATTTCTAGGGGTTTTAATGGAAAACTGTACGAATGAGACTCTGGAATAGTTTCTTTGTGGGAAAGTCGTGGAATCTGTAGTGTGAGAATATCTAATAAAAAAGCTGTATACCAGATTGGTCACTACATTTTGGCAGAAGAACCACAGCTGACCCATACCTCGATCAAAAAAATGAACAGAAATGAGAAGAAAAAAAAAAAGAAAAGCAGGTTCCCAGTGATATCTACAGCACTATAGTCTAACTTTTAGACAGGACATGTCTTTTGTAATATATCTCTCCACTCACATCCAGTGGGGGATTTGTTACCCAGCAGATACCAGTGTGGTTACAATCCTACATAAGTATATTATATTGCAATTTCAAATATGCCAAGACATGACACAGCAGTTTTTCAAGTCATTCTCTCTTTTCCTATACTCAGTAGGGAGTTTTCATACTTTAGATTGGTTTAACTTGTGATTTTAATGAGTTTAAATTTTTTCTCCACATACTTCATTTCAGCAATTCTAGATTAAAATAATCATTTCACACTGGTACACTAATTAGCGAGTATTTCAAATGTCTGGTTGACAAGGCATATCTCTTTTGGTCATGAACTCCTATTGTGGAAGCAGCTGCTGGTCTTTCATTTTTCTTTCGTCAAACAATAGAAAAGGGAAACATTTCTAAAGCATCACCGCAGTCTAGTCTGCCACATGTTTTGCTGGGTTTTGCATTAAGTATGCCAGCCTCTTTAGTAGAAATCTAATGGGTTTTAGAATATGTTTTTCCTGAATGGTTTCTTCTCCTATCTCTTTCCCAATATCTGACTATAACTGTAAATTTATCTTTCCTTAATGGCCACTATTCTTTGTTTCTTTCCGTAGAATTTAGCTGCGAGCAGCTTTTAGTTAAAATGGTCACCACTTTCTGGTGGCTTTCTCAAGCAAACCTGAGTTTGTCCTTAATGATAATGAATCCTTGTATTTCTTACCTTGCTGTGAAACTGGAGACAGCCTATTCTCAGGGCTTATGATGGACTTTAGGCATACAGTGTGAAGCTGAGGAATGGATTGGATGTGAGTGATATAAAGAAAAAGAAAGAAAGTCCAGATAGTTGTTCTATATGTGTCATGAAGAAAATTCAAGGTATGAGGAGTGGGTGACAAAAAAGAGAAAAATTCAAACATAGGAGGCTATATAAGCGAAAATAGGTGGAATGGAACAGAAAACTAAGAAAATGCAGGGAAATGGGGCAGTGAATGTCTAAAGGCCATGGAAGTGGGATATAATGAGGAAGTTAGAGCTAAGTGGAAGAGGCTGCTCAAAAACCCCACCAAAATTAATAAAGCCTTAGATTTCTGCCAGCTTAGGTTCTCAGAGTATTGGATATTGCTTGTTACTGACACAAATAAGTATCCACCAGCTTTAGTGAACGCGGTTATGTGAAGAGCTCTTTGAACTCTTGAGCACAGATGTACAAAGAACTTTTAGTTAGAAGATGTAATGCTATTGGAGTAACCTGTTGAAGGAATGTATGTTTCTGTTACCCCTAAAGACTTCTAGTCAATACCACTCCATTGTTAAAAGATGGACTTCACTTGGCAGAAATTACTGGACTGGCTATAGCGGTAGCTGGGTTAAGGTTGACAGCCTGTGTTGCACAAGAGAGCAGGTGACATAATTTTGATCTAAGAAGTGACAGTTCTGCTCCATCTTGAATGAGCCAGTGTCAAACTCAGCTTCCATGTGTGCATGTGTGTTTTGGAAACTTGCAATGTTACCATCTTCAGTGGCTTTGTAACAATTGCTGTTTTTTCTGAGTGAGTCAGCTGTAAGTGACTGTAGGGCTCTGCTTCAGAGGTACAGTACCCCTGCGGTTCTCATAGCTGTGAAGGAAAACCTGGAAAAAACCATCTTGGGTGCATTCTTAAGGCTTGCTGAACAGCAGACAAATTGCAAGTATGAACACTCATTTTTGAATAAAATTATTTTAAAGTCAGTCCTGGTAATGAAGAAGAACAGATTGTGCCCATTTTGAGATTTTTCAATGCTTGCCATGGAGTACCCTGCCTGTACCACTGAATTTTTCACTCCCAGTAACTTGATGTTCATTGAAGGGCAACAAGTTCTCTACGTAAATTTCAGGAGACAGATTAAAGACCAGTACCTTTTCTTAAATACTTTTTGATGATTTTGGAGGTTTGAACAAGTGTGTGGTTTTTGGAGCTGGCAATAGTGCCCGTTTGTTTATTGCTGAATTCCACTGTTTACTCCACCCAACAGTCCCAATGAGATGTGCTGTTACAGTGATGACAATGGATCTTTTACACTTAGCTTTTTAGTCCATGCTTTCTTAATCCCAACCATTATGTTTGTGTTGTATATTAGACCATGGTTTTAGAACTCTCCCACACTTTACAGTACATAAAATAGAATATTTCTATTTTCTAGGACAGATAACAATTCTTACATATGACTTACCACTATTATCTCTTTTATCTTCAAGTATA